TGAAAATTATATAATTGTATTAACCAATGTTACCCCAATAAACTTAATTAAAAAAATTAAAATAAAATAAAAAATATGTAGCATAGAAAAATGTTTTTGTTTTAAAAAATGTATAAAGGCATATGAAAAGAATGAAACAGCATACATCAAAAATTAAGACTGTGTGATAAGGTTATGGATATTTTCCTTTTTGTAGTGCCAGCATATATTCAAGCAGAATCTGGATAACCATCCACCAGGGATCTGTACTGGGTGAAAAGTTGGTTCATATTTGTCTTAGGAGTCCAAGATTCTATTCTTGACCTAGAAGAATGCTCCGAAAACTATAAAGTGCTTAGTAAAATAAAAATATTATGTCCAAACATTCAAGTGAAAATATGAATATAGAATTAGAAAATCAGAGAATGTTAATAACACTAAATGGAAGATATTGTGCCAAATGCTTTATATACAGTATTTTAATTAGTACTCACAATCTTGTAAATTGGGTATTACTACTATCCCTGCTTCTTTTTTTCTCTCAGATGAGAAAAACAGACCCAAAGAGGTTATGACTTGCTTGAGGTCACATAGCCAGCTGTTGAACCCAAGGCTGTCATACTTTAAAGCCATGTTCTTAATTAACTGGGAAGGAATCCTAAGGAATGTTAATTCAGCTCCTTTATTTTATAAAAGAGGCAACTTTCCCATCATACAATGACATATGAATACTACATATACTCTTATGTTCCTCAGTATCTTTTGAGGTTTGAAACTCAATTTACTTAAAGGCAGAACATGATCAATTGCTTCACTAGCCCTTAAGCAATTAACAGGACCAGAGAGTTGCCATATTAAGTAAACCACACTCTAAGTTCTAGTCCAGGTATCACTACAACATAGCATAGAGCTATTTCATTAGTGACTTATTTGTATCAATTCAGCCTCTGGCCATGATCCCAGCCTATCCTAAAATGTAAGTAGGTACCTACAGGTTAATTATGACAAACAGTTGAGATCTTCCAAGCCAGGGTAACCAAATGTGATCTAAAATCTAAACAACTTATTTTCTCAAAAGAGAACTACTAAAGAACAATAAGGATTTAAAATATTAAGACTGAAGGCTTGTCCAATTCTTGCCTTTAAGAAAGTTAAAAATAAAAAACAAAACCTTGAATGAGATGATATGGCTACTATACTCATTCTGAGTTGATAAAGGGTTACTTCCATGCACCTGATTTTGGAGATTTCATTGAATGAGATCAGTATCTGTTTTTTCCTTACAAAAATAACCAAATGTGACCAAATGTGATCTAAAATCTAACCAAATGTGATCTAAAATCTAACCAAATGTGATTCAGAGTTCCCAGAATGATACAACATAAGAAATTTATATTACAATATTTGTTTATTCTATATCCTTTAAGAAAAATAAATACTGTGTGAGGCTATGAGGAACAGAAAAAGAAACACGCCTGAAGATTTTTGACCAAGGATATATATTTTTTTAATAAATTATATATACTTTTTTCCATTTACCAAAGTTCATCAAAGAATGCCCAAAATTATTAAACCATCTTCATTCTTCAGGAGTTATTCATTCACAGAGCAGACCACCTATAGAAAAAGATTTTAGAAAGTCAGATTTCAAACATCACGGAGTTAAGGAAGACCACTAGAAATTAGTGTCTCAGCCAAGTTCTATTAACTAACTGCCACAATTATTCTAAACTAAATGAAATAAAAGATCCACATTTTAAAATTCTAGTTTTGTCTAAAAACATCACTGAAACTGTTCAATCCATTACATTGTTTAATCTTCAGAAGTCTTTGTTGAAGTAAAAACGATTTACTTATTTTCTCAAATATATCTTCCCAAAAAGGCTAAGGCAGTTTATTTTACAGATATTCAAAAGAGATATGCAAATCTTTACTTGCTGATTCAAATGTGTTTGGCAAAAATGCATTAAGTGAAAGGCAGAAAGTCAGCTCTGTATACAAAACACTTACTGTGGAAAGTTACTTAATCCTACGGGCAAAATAAGGGTAACTCTTTTGAAATCCATTTGGAAAGATCAAAAAGGGAAAGTAGCAGAGGACAGGGTTGCCGGTCTAGTTTGTCAGTACCAGTCTTCTCTCCAGGCAGCTCCCACCCACCTCCACCCACACCCGCAGTACTTATTCCAGAAGACAGAGAATAATGCTAAAAAGGTAACTAAGTAATATGAACTAGCCAACTCTTCAAGTCTAATGCAAGTGCTTCCCTCATCTAGCTATTCCCTATATTTGGTTTAAAAAGAGAAGCCTCCTCAACAATAAAACATCTAAACTCTCTTTTCTAAAAGGCTCAAAGGAAGAATACAGTTAAGGAAAGGTTTGAGCAGCAAAGATAACCAAAAATAAAGTTCAGTTGAACTTAATAAATACTAAGTATCACCACCACTCAGTGCTAGTTCTCTAATTTTTTTTCAATTTTAGCCCCCAAACTGAGTTCTCAAGGTTCCTTCTGAATCCTAAGGGCAAGAAGATACTACTTGCCATTTCCTCTTTACATTTCTGATCAGGTTCTAGGTTCTTCTAGTTTCTCTTTCAGTAAAAGCAGTCATAAGACAGAAGAAAGTGTTTGGAATCATCACCATCATACGCAAATTTTCCTTAGGAGTAGTTTTCAAGTTTCTGCCTTTGCCACTGTTAAATCTTTAGGTAGTTTATATTTAGCATTATCTCTTCTAACTTCTTCAGCTTAAGCCAGTGGTTCTCAAGAGTACACGTTGAAAATTACCCAGGAGATTGAGTCAACAGGCTTGTGAATTTGAGAAAACACCCCTCAGGTGATTGTTAAAGATATACCTCTGGCTGAATGTAGCCTACTTTATATTAAGTCCCAATCTACTGGTTTTAAGGTACAATTAAGACATATCTCATTTAGGAAATAACATTAACATCTACAAAGGTTTTTGAATTATAGAACTTCCATAATCATTACTGAAGACCTAAGTTTGCAAAATATTTTTCCTTTGAAGCTAATCTCAGAAAAATGTTGTCTAATAGTATAAGAGATATCTATTTAGTTAAGTTTATCTTAGTGCAGACAGTAGTGTTGTATTTTACCCTATAGCCAATGACCTGGTTACTGAGTTATATACTGATGCATTTTAATAATATCTTTCCAATTAGCATTCATAATAAAGTTTTAGGATTAAAGACCAAGACTATGTGCAATCCTAAAAATGAGCATGTTGGCGATAAAACCTCATTAAGTACAAGCAAAGAGTGGAGTGTAAAGTGCTTGTGATTTGGGGGAACATAGAATATCTAGACTCTAGTTTTAATTCCACCATCTATCCACTCTTGAGCAAGTCTGTTTTGACTTCATTGTTTCTCCATTTTCCCATGGGGGTTGGGGAAATAGGATACTTGGGACCAATGGAGATCCAAACACCTGTTCTTCTTCCAATTATTCATTATTACACTGAAAATGAAAAGATGACTTTTTTAATGGAAGATCCTTAGAAAGGCCCTATGTGGATTCATAATGTTCTTCTGATAACCAGAATTCAAATATACATTATTAGGTCATATATTCAACAGACCTCAATTGAATGGCTGCTATCCACAACTCCCAAGTATGAGATATTCCTTTCTAGTTTCTATTGGACAGTTTATAAAGCCTACTCATATATATATCATTTAATCATCACAATGACTCTGTGAAGTAGTTTGGTTATGTATTATCATCTCTCCTTTACAGGTAAGGAAACTTAAGGTTCAGAAAGTTTAAGGATTGGCCCAACACCACACAATCAGTTAAACATCAGGTCTTCGAAGTCCAAAGATCTTGTATTTTCTTTTATATACAAATGAAGTCCATAGGAATCACTCTCACTCTCTGTTTGAACAAAATAAGAAAACTATATCTTCTGGTCCTTATGAATGTATGCTACTTATAACAACTATACTACCTCTGTGGTCCACATGAAGTCCAAGAGAAGCTTTTGATGCTCCTAAAATTATCATTTTAAAAATCACCTTTTTTATCACAGCTTCCACAACTTGACTTATACAACTGACAAGGAAGAGAGTTAGATTATGAAGAAGTGTGGAGGAGCGACTGTCCTATGAAGTGACTCTTATCTGTCATGCAAGCGGGACCTGGCTAGAACAGAGGTTGCTTTCTGTAACTCCCCCTTACAGACTGTCTGCTGGTAACTGATGTTCTAACATAAATTAGCATCCCTCCGTTTCCTCCTGCTGGTTCCTTAAACAGGCCTGCTGTCCCAACCTGGTCAAGCATATAAAGTAGTTTCATATAATAGACACTTACTGGTACCTGTGACTATTCTTCTCCCTTTACCGTACATAGTTCTCTTGTTGCCTGCCAAGCAGTATGGGGATCCATTTCATCTTAAAACCAGAAGACAGGCCTCATATGTACGTTTCCCTTAACAAACTTCATTAATTACCAGACTGGAGTAGCCAGTCTCTTTCTTCAGACTTTCCCTGCCTTCCGCTTGGGGGGGGTAGATTTTTAGCCTCAGGGCTTTCCCCTGGGTCTACGTTTACTAATAAGAAAACAATGTACAAATGTTGAAATTCCATGCCTTTGAAAATGATCAACTGGTGTATTTATACTTTTTAAGAACATCCCCTCATCCAAATTTACTTATTTTACAAAATGATTCACCATGGGATTTCTTTAAATAACCAACTAATCTAAAAACCACTTAAGTATATTCTGTATACATTGAGTAGATGCCATGCCATATATATATGGCATATATATATATAGATATTATGGTTCTCTTTTTATAAATGAAAACAGTAAAACTCAGAGAGGATTATGTCTGATGAACATTAAATGGAGGTGAAGTAAAACACATGGTAAGCTAGGCATCAGAAGAACCAAATTAAGCCTAAGGACTTTCAGCCTAGACTGTTTTCCACTACACAGTGATACTTCTTATTGGCTCAGGACAAGTTCCTTACCCCTCCTTTTTTATGGCTCAGCGAGGAACAATGGCCATATGTTAAATTCCAAAGAGGCAGCGAAGAGGTGAAAGAAAAATAAGCCAGGCTCTCCATTGCTGTTATATTGGTATATCGCTTTGGCTACATCTCTCAGCTATTATTAAATTAAAGGTGGTGGTGTGGTATATATGAGAGAGCCAGCACAAAGCAGACGGAGTCTGCCTGGAGACAGAGGTTCCAGTTCTGATCCTGCTACCCCTCTTCAGGAGTCATTTCATACCTATAGGACTTAGTTTCCTCATTTATTTATTCACTTAATTAACAATTCTCTATTGAGTACCTATTATGTACTATTTTAGGTCCTGGAGATACGACAGTGAGGGAAACAGAAAATTCCTACTCTCTCAGAGCTTACATTTTAGTTGGAATAAAGCAATGTAGATGATAAGTAAAACTAAAAATTCAGTCCCTGTTTTACTGGCCACATTTCAAGGGCTCAACAGCCACATATGACTACTACACTGGAAACTGCAGGTATAGAACATTTTCCTTATCACAGAAAGTTCTGTTGGACAATGCTGGGATAGAGTGATGGGATGGGATGCTATTTTAGTTAGAATGTTGAGAGAAAGCCACTCTAATAAGAGTGCTGTGAAAAGAGACCTGAGTGAAGTGTGGGAGTGAGTCAAGTTGCTATCTGAAGGAAGAGCCTCCAAACAAATGAAAATCATTTATTTATGGTACTGTTGTATACACATCACTTAAGGTCCCTTTCAGCATTAAAATTTAGATGTAAAGTTCTTTAAAAAAATGGTCTGAGGTTTTAATTTTATTAAAGTACAGTATAAGAGAAATACAATTTCATTTTGTTTTGCAGAAGGCAATGCTTCCATGTGCTGCTTACTGTTTTAAAATAACTTACTAAAGATCCACAACATTTGAAACAAATGAATATTTTCTTAGTTCCTTTAAGTTAGACAACTGAATATTTTGAACTTCCTAACCCATGATTCTGACTCTAACAGAACAAAGTGCTTTTATCAAGTCCTTTCTTGAAAACTAATTCCCACTTCCCCAAATCCACTGAATGCCTCTCAATTTATTAGCACCATTTAATCCCTACATTAGAAACTAAAGTTATTTTTTAGTGATACTTCAGCATATTAGATTAACTGGGAGAACTACCTTTCAGATAGAATGTTGCTAAGTTTGCAAAGCAGTACTGAAATTTGAAGTGATAAATCAGGTCAATCAGAAAGGACCGTGCTCACCATTTCATATCTTAAATCCCAGGGCTCTCATGCACTCCTTGTGGGCCTCAATTAGGTGTCCACAGTGCTCTTCTCCTTTCTCAATGATGCTACGAAACAAAATGTACTTGTTATCTAACAAAACAATCATTAAGCACGTCAGTAGTAAATAAGCATGCATAATACTGATGCAGAGTGAGACAGAACACAGGTCTGATGGAATGTAGCTAGAGTTAAAAAAAAATTCTATTATACCAAATGGCTTTGTTTTTATTGGTTCTTGTGGTATTTCCACGCCCATGAAGATGGTCCACAGATAACTTGTATTTTGGGGGAATCTGATTAGCAATAATGAGTATGCATATCAAATAGTGCCTCTGGTCCATATCCAAGGAATATTGCTCTATAATTAAATAAACTGACTAAAAAATATTTACATTAAATAAAGGATATAGAGAAGAGCTTAATTTTTTGCCTGCTATCACAGAGGAATTACATTTTTGATTCTGCCCAATATGCAAATACACCTCAATAAATCTACTTCTAAGACACCCCACAACATAAACAGCAAAAAAGATCTGTCAGCCAAGAACAGCCTGATGAGACCTCCCTCAAAATGATTAAATTTTTCACTTGTAAAATTCTCAAAGTAAAGAATAGGGCACACAGCTTATTTCAAGGGCCTGAATATGTAATTTTAGAAAAGAATCAAGTTACACCAAATTCAATTGTTAAGAAAAAACTGACCCCTGACTATAGATATCTGGAGAAGCCATAGTGGTCTGATACAATTGATAGAAAAGGTATTTAAAGAAAGGTAAATTCTCCTTCCATCTAAATTCTATGCATCCTTCAATAGCTCAAGGGCTGCCTGTAAATGAGTGACTGCCTAGGATGGTGAGTTCCTTATGAAGATATTAGCTAGCATTCCCAGATCATTTACTGGATGCTTTAAATACTGTACTAGGCACTTGATGTGGCTTCTATCATTAACCCTTAACAGTAATCTTAGAGGCAGATATTTTTATTAGGCCCATTTACAGACATATGAGACAGCTATGTTAAATAATTTGCTCAAGGTCAAAAAGGTGAACCGGGATTCAAACCTTGATTCTGGATCCCAGATTCTGAATCATGACACAATACTATTTGAAGGTTTAATAAGCACTTACTATTACATAGTACTAACTATGGAAGCAATTTTCATATCTCATTTGTAGTTTTTCAGTTCTCTTTCCACATTATTATTTGCAAAGTACTAAGCATTAATAAAAAGCACTGAGCTCCAACAACTCTTCAATTATGATTTCTTTATGTGAGGACAAAAGGGGACTAGGAGGTGTATAAATTATCTGAGAATTCCTTCTCATCAAGATTTGTTCCAGAACAAGCTGTATATGATGAAAACAAACAAGAGCTTTTGTGGATTGATGGTAATCTGGATGTACTAATTCTGAACACTGTGTCACCTAACGTTATAGGCTACTGAATTTTAAATCATCTACCTAAAATGGAGGGGAGAGGTAGGAAGAACTCTTTAATACTGTTAAGAAACGTACCACGTGTCCTACTATGTCTAAATTTAGAGAGAAATTACCAGAAAACGATTATACTTTGGTCTTGTCAAATCTTCTATTGTAGTGGAATAGCAATCACTGGTATATGTCTCTATTAACTCTAAGCTCTTTTCAATCAAGTAACACATTTACCTATTTCTACATCTCCCGGCCTAAGGCAGTGCTTGATATAACACATGCTCAAAAACCCTTCGTAGGAAGAAATGGAGTGTGTGAAGCTAGCCCGGGTCAATCTAATCTTTCTCCTATTCCTTCATTCGTTTCCCGGGCCGAGCTGCGGGCTGTCAACAAGGCAGCCAATCGCGAAGCCTATTAGGCCCTAATAACCCTAAAAAAGAGCTGCTCGGCAAAGCGAAGGCAAGACAAGCTCAAGGCGGGGCAGACAGCAGAGTCACAGGAAAAATGCGCAGGCCTGCCGGCCGCCCCCTCCCACGCCTGCGCACTGACCACGCATCGCGTGCTTTCTTGGTCTCCGGGCAGGCGCAGCACGGCTTCAGCGGCTTCTTCTCCTGCGTCTCAGGCGGGGACGGGCTGGCGGCCGCCAAACCCGGCATCTTTCAGGCCGAAAGCAGCAACTAGCACTGGAACCCTCAATTCTCCCAGCCTCCGCATGCGCCAATTGGCCCGCAGGCACTTCCGGGAGCCGCTCTCGAAAGGACAGGAAGTTCTGCCTCTCTCAGGCGGATGGGCGTGAGGGAGTAGGAGGGGGGAAAGGATAAAAAGAGCGCGTGCGCAGAAAGGCTAAATGACGGCTAAAGCAGAGCACCTCTTCTGCGCAGGTGCAGGTAGGCGGGCTAAAAGGGCGCGGAGAGCTTATTAATCAACTTGGGGGCGGACTCACAAAGGTTAAGAATGTGGTCACTCAGACTTCATTCAAGCTCTCCACCTACTGCTAATGTGGAAAAAGTGAAGCTCTGGAAAGTGAGAGGACCTGTCTACGCTAAACTCTAAAAGAAAGCACTTTCGAAAGCTAGCTTCTCTTGCGTAACAGATTAGCTCCCCATATTTCAGGTTGGGACACTATCTGCCTTTTCTTTCTTGCCCCTCTCCCCCACTCTCTTTCATTGCCATAGTTAGAATGATTAGCAATCCACAAGTGTTGGGGGAAAAAAATTCACTGTCACCCATACCTCACCCCATACACTTTAAATCCTTGGCTAATTTATGTTTATAGCTCCCTCTCATGGGATAAATATACCGGTTAATAAAATTGCAAAATGCTTTTCCTTGACACTTCTTGAATTCCATTGGCTGGGTTAGTAAACTGGTGCCATTGTTATTTGCAGCAGAATGTACATAACCATTGCTTTTTTTTAGGGGACTAGAGGTGTATAAATTATCTGAGAATTCCTTCTCATCAAGATTTGTTCCAGAACAAGCTGTATATGATGAAAACAAACAAGAGCTTTTGTGGATTGATGGTAATCTGGATGTACTAATTCTGAACACTGTGTCACCTAACGTTATAGGCTACTGAATTTTAAATCATCTACCTAAAATGGAGGGGAGAGGTAGGAAGAACTCTTTAATACTGTTAAGAAACGTACCACGTGTCCTACTATGTCTAAATTTAGAGAGAAATTACCAGAAAACGATTATACTTTGGTCTTGTCAAATCTTCTATTGTAGTGGAATAGCAATCACTGGTATATGTCTCTATTAACTCTAAGCTCTTTTCAATCAAGTAACATATTTACCTATTTCTACATCTCCCGGCCTAAGGCAGTGCTTGATATAACACATGCTCAAAAACCCTTCGTAGGAAGAAATGGAGTGTGTGAAGCTAGCCCGGGTCAATCTAATCTTTCTCCTATTCCTTCATTCGTTTCCCGGGCCGAGCTGCGGGCTGTCAACAAGGCAGCCAATCGCGAAGCCTATTAGGCCCTAATAACCCTAAAAAAGAGCTGCTCGGCAAAGCGAAGGCAAGACAAGCTCAAGGCGGGGCAGACAGCAGAGTCACAGGAAAAATGCGCAGGCCTGCCGGCCGCCCCCTCCCACGCCTGCGCACTGACCACGCATCGCGTGCTTTCTTGGTCTCCGGGCAGGCGCAGCACGGCTTCAGCGGCTTCTTCTCCTGCGTCTCAGGCGGGGACGGGCTGGCGGCCGCCAAACCCGGCATCTTTCAGGCCGAAAGCAGCAACTAGCACTGGAACCCTCAATTCTCCCAGCCTCCGCATGCGCCAATTGGCCCGCAGGCACTTCCGGGAGCCGCTCTCGAAAGGACAGGAAGTTCTGCCTCTCTCAGGCGGATGGGCGTGAGGGAGTAGGAGGGGGGAAAGGATAAAAAGAGCGCGTGCGCAGAAAGGCTAAATGACGGCTAAAGCAGAGCACCTCTTCTGCGCAGGTGCAGGTAGGCGGGCTAAAAGGGCGCGGAGAGCTTATTAATCAACTTGGGGGCGGACTCACAAAGGTTAAGAATGCGGTCACTCAGACTTCATTCAAGCTCTCCAGCTACTGCTAATGTGGAAAAAGTGAAGCTCTGGAAAGTGAGAGGACCTGTCTACGCTAAACTCTAAAAGAAAGCACTTTCGAAAGCTAGCTTCTCTTGCGTAACAGATTAGCTCCCCATATTTCAGGTTGGGACACTATCTGCCTTTTCTTTCTTGCCCCTCTCCCCCACTCTCTTTCATTGCCATAGTTAGAATGATTAGCAATCCACAAGTGTTGGGGGAAAAAAATTCACTGTCACCCATACCTCACCCCATACACTTTAAATCCTTGGCTAATTTATGTTTATAGCTCCCTCTCATGGGATAAATATACCGGTTAATAAAATTGCAAAATGCTTTTCCTTGACACTTCTTGAATTCCATTGGCTGGGTTAGTAAACTGGTGCCATTGTTATTTGCAGCAGAATGTACATAACCATTGCTTTTTTTTCTTCCAGAGAACTATTGAAGAAAGGGAATGAAATTTTTTAAAGCAGGTCTTTCAGGCGTTGTTCAAATAGCTGCCTGGTGATAGACATTTTGGGTAATCAAACTTTCAATATCACCTAACCAAGGTTTATTTCTGTATTTCAGAGCTTCAGCTCAGCTCAGAGAGTCTATAGGTATGTCTGTGAACTGGTGCCATATGGGAGTAGTTTATGTGTATTTTCCATGTTATTGAAACTAAATCCATTTTTGTCATTTAAAAACTTCTAATAAGCATGATTTTTACCTTATTCTGGATTGGTATGTTTCATAATACAGCATATCCCCTTATGTTCTCCTAAAAGCACCCTTATCTACTATTATCAGTTCTTTTAAGTAAGTATTTGCTCCCATTGTTTAGTATCTTGCTATTGAAAACTGCTTCTTGGACTAGCAATATCAACATCACTTGGAAACATACAGTAATACAGTTCAACAGATCAGTGGGGAAAAGAAAGTAAACCGGAGAAAATGAAACACATCAAAAGGAGGGGCCCTGGATGCATTAAAGGTCTACATGTGAAAGGTCAAACTAAAAAATTAATAGAAGATAGTAGAGGAGATTGTCTTTATACTGTGGGGTGGATAACAACCTATTTGATAGCATTTCAAAAACACAAATCGTAAGTAAAAAAATTGATAAAGTTAATTACATCAAAACAAAGACTTGAGGTTTTTACATAGGACATGCTAAATTAATTAAACAAGGTCATTAGATTGATGTGGTTCTAATGCCTACATAAGCAACCTAAAATCTAAGTTTATAAATGCCTTTGGGTTACAAAATCAAATTGCTAAGGACAACCAATCACAAACAGCCAAGTAAGCTGTAAGGCTGTAAGCTGTAGCCAATCAATAATTTCTTACTTTTCTTCAACCTTTATAAAGCCTCTCCCCAGGATCCTTTCCATGGAGTATTCCTAACCACTTCTGGTTTGGTACTGCCCCACTCAAATTTTGCTTGAATAAACTCAAAACTTTTAATATGCCTCAGTTTATCTTTTTAAAGACACTATAGACAAAGTTAAATAAGTGACAAATTGGTAAAAGATACTTGAAATATCTAAATCCAACAAGGAATTAATGTCTAGAATATTTAAAGAACTTATAGTAAGTAACAATAAGAGAATAGCAACCCCAGTAGGAAAATGGAGAAGGGATATGGACAGACAATATATAAAAGTAGAAACGTTCAAGTGACATTTTTTGTTTTTCTGCTTATTTAAGACAAGAGAATATATAGAACATGTAGAAGAGAAAACCCCAGTCCAATACTCATAAGAAGAGCTATTTCGAAAGAGTACTAATCGTAGAAATGGAAACTAAAACAATGATGAAGTATCACTTTACAGCCATTCGACTGACAAAAGTTAGAAAACTGAATTATGCCAAGTATCGGTGAGAATGCACAAGTCCTCCCAGGTTACTTACTGTTGAGAATGTAGACTAGTCCAGCCATTTTGGAGGCAGTTACGCAGTATCCAGGTAATTTAAGAGTAGGTGCATATTCTATGGCTCAGCACTTCTATTCCTAGACTGATATTCCAAAGAACTTCCATAAGAGAAGAACTTCCAGCAAGTCCATAAGAGAACATGTATGGGGAAAAGTGTCACCGCATGTTTATGTGTCAGGGAATTGGAAGCAATCTGGGTATTCATCACTAGGGAGGTAAATAAGAAAATGTGGCATACTGGGCACAAACTAGAAGAAATTGCCAACATATACATATAGTAACATGGACAAAATTTTTAAATAGCATGGGAAGTGGAAAAAAGTAAGAATGCATACCGGAATACCATTTACATAAATTAGAGAAGGGGTACAAAACCAAAAATGCACATAAAAACACACATGTAAAATGATTTGCTTTAAACAGTTAGAATGGTTGTCCATGAGGGGAGGCAAGAGGGAGTAGAGCCTGGGAATAAATGCAAATAAATAAAGCGACCTTGTAAGGACCAATGATAATAATATGTCATGCACAGAGGATAAATAAGTGAAGTATCTGCACCTGAAGAACAAGGAAAACTATGCTGGTCACATTCCACTAAATGTAGTTTGGAAAACACTGTTTTATGGGGTAGAAATTGAATTTAATTACTTTAATGTACTCTTTAAAGCAAAATAACTTTTATTCTAAGGGCTTAAGCCACTTCCTTACTTTTAAGTAAAAATAATCATTATGTCATAAAGAGATATTGCGAATTTCTAGATAATGTGCTGTGATCTTATCATACTCATTTTGTACACCCATGAAACCAAAATGGTAGCATATGGTAGACACAGCACAAATGCTTTTAACTTAGACAAATTACTCCCAATAAAGCTTTATTTTGCCCTGTTGCTACCAAGAATCTAGAATTATTATTTTTTCCATAGAAGGATTTCTCTCGTCTTAAATATGCAGAGAAACAAAAAGAGGGGAAAAAAAGAAAATGTTTGAACTGATTCTCCTTTCTAGTACTGTCCATCGCTTAATCTTCACAGCAGTTGAACTTATTTGCATTTATAGATGAGAAAATTGAGGTTCAGAGATGAACATGATTTGTTCAAGGTCACATAACTTGTAAGTGGCATTTTCTCCCTCTAAGATCTGTGTTCTATCTACTATCCCACTTGTCTAAATGCAGGGTGAATATTACTTACTTTAAAATTAATCATTGATCTGTATTTACGTTACTAAATTTTATGTTTAGGAAATGAACAAGTAACAGAAAGAAATATCTAAGAGAGTTTAGGGAATTAAGAAACTTGAGATAAGCTGTAGATACAGATTATAGACCAAAAGACTGAAACAGATTTTCTGCAATTGAGAAAACATTTTTCTTACCCATTCTCCTTTCCTGCTCTTCTTCTCTTCAGTGAAGAGAGGGTACTTGTAGTGCCAACACTCGCTGTCACTTCCTCAGGGTAAGCTAGTATTGGCAGGCCTCAGGCAAAAAAGTTGGGTAATAGCTCCTTGCCCCCACTCCCACTCCCTTTAACCTGCTGTGTTCAAGATATTAACCAAGGACTCTTGTTTTCCTGCCTGAGCACAGTGACTCTTAAACTCTTTGAACAACTGCTTCTTAGGGATGCAATATTCTTCTACCCTTGAAAAAAAAAAAAATGTTCCTTTCTGTAGTGAAATATTTACTCATTTATACCCAGCTACTTAACTCTCCTCTTGTTTCAGAATGGTACAGCTAATCCACACATGTGGGTTACTTTTTCTTCTGCCTTTTAATTTATGAATAGGTAAGCTTTAAGGTCAACTACTGATTTTTACATGATCAATTTTGCTTTACTTTTCTTACCCAGGCTAAATGCCTTTAGATTTGTGGGATGGCCTGTCTTAGTATTAAAGGAAAAGTAAGAGGATAAAACAATGAAATTTAGTGTTTCCCCTTCTACCTTAAGAAAAATCTCAGTAACCCACTTCCCCCAAGAAAAACACAACAATTTTTAGGGCTGTAATTATAGATTACATTGAGAGTAGGTGGCATGTAGAGACTTAATATTAAAAGACTGGATTCAACCATCTGTTTTACAAAGGCACTCTGAGGTTAGTTTGATTAGTACCTTTTATATCAAGTTCTTGCTTCTCAATTCTGATTTTAACCAGCAATACTATTTTAAGCCTCCGGGTTTTTTGCTATTGCTATAATTGCTAATTCAGTAAGCAGCAAGAATTGACATGGTGACTCTAATGGGCTTGTTCTTAGTATAGTGAATATATTATTGTATGGTACTAAATGGGGACATTTGCTATAAATGGCACCAAGCAATCATTCTGTGGATAGGATGACAGCCCTAGTAATATAACAAGCTATAGGAAATACTTTCTAAAATTCTTCCTTGAAAAAGATATTCTGAACTATTTTTCATGCCTAACTAATCCGAGGTGTGAAGATTTTACCAAGTAAGTGTGGGTAGTGGAGGTTGGTAGAGAAGGAGTGACACCATATGCTGAGAGAAGAATTACAAGCCTTGAGTTCTCATTTGCCTGGTTAGTAGGTTCAAAGGTAATTTTGTATAGCATTTACATTACTGCCTCTACAAAAAAAAATACTTTCTAATATCCATAGGTAAGTATGTGCTTCACATCATTCTCTAGAGCTTTCTGAGAACTCTGAAGGGTCTGAAGGTTTACCTAGTTGCCTGCCACAGTTCCATGAATGCTGGTAGAAGCCAGCAAGCTGCTGGGTCATAGATGAAGGATAATTTACTACCTACAGCAGTAGCAGCAAAGTATCAGCATTTTTGTGCCAGTTCTCTGAGCCCCAATTCCCAGAGTGATGTAAAGAAGGCTAGATGTGACATCTGCTTACACACTGGGTTGCAGCATGAGAAAGGAACAGTGAGCTTAGGAAACCCAAGTGTTTAATAATGGGCAGTAAGAATGCCTGCCCTTTGCTCAAAGGAAGACACTATCTATGAATTCTAAGGCTTTAAGCACACCTACCCTTTGCTCTAGAGGCAGGCACTGTCTCTATTGCCCAAGGTTGTCTCCTACACAAAGGAACAAAGGCAGGCAGTGCCCTCCTCCTTTTTTTCTTTTCTTTTATCTAAGATAAGAGACAAACAGAAACATGAGACTCTTGGAGAACTGTCTTCCTACATGGCAAAGTATAACTTTCATTTTAATGAAATTTTATTATTAACTAGCATCCCTCTCCAAAATCAAAGTTTCTTCCATACTAGTAAACTAAAAGACATAGAACCTAATTTCAAAAAGATTGTGTATTAGTTCTTGATGATTGTATAACAATATTACCACAAACCTAGTGGTAACACCTTTATACATCTTAATACGCCTCACAGTTTTTGTAGCTTAAGTGGCTCCTCTGATTAGGGTCTCATAAGACTGCAATCAAGATTTTGGACGAGACTATGGTCTGATCTAAGGTTCCACTGGGGAAGGATATGCTTCTAATCTCACTCAAGTTGTTGGCAGAATTCAGTGTCTTGCAGTTGTAGGACTGAATGATTTGGTTTCTTGCTGGCTTTGGGTTGAAGGCTGCCCGCAGCTCTGACAGGCTGCCTATAGATCTTTGCCACATGGGTTTCCCCAAAATGGCCACTTGCTTCCTCAAAGCCAGCAAGGGAGTAAGCAATTCCAGCAAAATGGCTACTATAGTCGATGTAAGATAATCATGTTGTCACATATGTCCCATCATAGTTGACATATTCTCTTGGTTAGTGTTTTCTAATGTGTTTATGGAGGGGGCTGGCTGTTGGCTCCTTCAGATAATTTATCTGATAGAGCGAAGCAAAGTCTTTCTGAGGAGGGGACATTCTAGCTGAGACCTCCAATGATGAGAAGTCAGTGGTGAGGAAATGGGGCAGGACAGGATGAGGAGCATTCTGGGGAGAAGGAACAGAAAGTGAGAAATGTAGCTATTCCCTCAGACAGAAAAATATTATAAAATACAATGTCATTATAACATTGTATTGTATTTGTTTGTGTTTGTTTTTTCAGTGAGCTTTACAAATTATCTCAAAATCTTCAATAGCTATTTTATAGTAGACAGTAAATTTGTTAGTAAATGGATGTATTTATTCATTCAGGAATCATTCTATTAAGCTTTTGTGTAGCAGTTACTTCAGAGATACAAAATAATGAAGGCCTGTGCCCTCAATGAACTCGTAGTTGTGGAGAGCAGAATTGCAAAGTTACTAATACAAGCGGGTCAATGCTCTTGGTGCTACCACAGCATTGGAAGAAAGCAAGCCTCACTCTGGGGGATTTGGGGAAACTACATAAAGGTAGTAAAGTTAGCACTGAGTCTTGAAAGATACCTAAATTAGTTGGGGGGCATAAATAGGAAAAGGCATTTTAGGCAAAGGCATTGGCTTGAGCAAAGGCTTGGAGGTGACAAAGTATATGGCTGGTTTTCAAAAACCCCAAGAAGTTTAGGATTAGGGAAAATAAAACCGGGAATATGTGTGGAAAGAGGAAGAGCAGGCTAGGAGGCTAATTCAAATCTCTGTGGATCACATCAGAAGGACTAAGAAGCCAACTCTAAAGTGTGTCACTAGCCCAACGGGATAATTCGAGCATCATAAAAAATAATAATAATTATGGATTGAAACATCAGATATGTAAAAATGCTTGTATTCATAATGATACTAAACAAACAAATCCTTATCAGTTAATATCAGAGGTTGCTAGGGCACCAACTCATTTCTCTGAAATTTAATGATTAAAGTGAAAAAATCCAGCATTTTCCCAGTCTTTCCTCTAAGATCTCGGTATTTCAGGATAGCTAATGAGTTGGTCAAAGTTCTTTTTTATAGAAGAATCCCACGTAGTAAAGAAAAATACTGAAAGCATTAGAATTACTGTTCTAGGATAAAAGTTAATTTAAGAGGCATACCAAAATGCAATGTGAAGACTTTTTTTGTATCTTTTGATCAGAACAAACCAACTATTAATTGACATCTTGGACTCAACCAAGTACTTGAATATGTACTTAGTATTAGATGATAGGAAGGAATTTTTAATTTTGTTAGATGTGGCATCGATAGTTAAGATACAAAAAAATCAGTTTGAGATGCAGATTAATTTAAGGGTAAAAAAATGTCTGGGATTTGTTTTAAAATACTCAAGCAACCTGAGAGGAGGGGATAGATGAAACAAGATCAGCTAAATGTTGATAACTTAATTCTTGGTGATGGGTACGTGAGGGTCCATTACTAAAAGTGGACTCACTTTTGCTTACGCTTAAAGTTTTTTATAATAGTTTGAAAAAGCAGAGCGAGTGCCTACATCACGTGATCTTCAGTTGATTTAATGCCCAGGGCTCAGTAAGCGGTAGCAGTTTGCGGTTCAATATTTACTAATTATGCAGCCCACATTAAACGCGAATGCCTGTAAATTAGAGCTCACAGTGTGCCAACGCCCAAAGTTCAGGAGTTTGGATTCCTCACTCGCAGAAGAAGCCTTGCGGAAAGGTGATGTCCGACATGAAAACCCCCAAATATTCTAGAAGGTTCTGAGATTTCCCAGAGATTTCCGGAAGAGGTTACAGAGTTTAAGTGGCAAAGCGCTACTGGATTTGAGTAGCACATCCTCTTCCCCAGCCTCGGGCTTTGCGGCGTTGACCGAGGATGAGCGGCCGAAAGCACGAGGATCTAGCCCGGGAATATAGTGGGAACTGAGACTGACTCTTCCCCTCCGCTCCTTCCCGGGATCCCCTCCCCGTCCCCGCCCACTTCTCCCTCCCCCCACCACGTCTCCAGCCTCCACGCGTAGCTGCCCGAGGCTCCTTCGCGCGTCCTTCCCCTCCCGCGCCTCGCCCCACCCCTTCCTTATCCTCACTCTATTTCCCTCCCATGCCAGCCCCGCCCCTTCCTCTGGAGGCCCGTCCGTCTTCTCGGGCCCCGCCCCTTACGCGAGCCTTACCCCCCACCTCTCTCCTTTCTTTTCCCGCCCCGCTTCTCCTCTCACGCCAGCCCCTCCCTCCTCAAACCACGCCTCACCCTACCGCTCCTCGCCCCGCCCTCTCCTCAAGGTAAAGCGGAGGTTACCATAGCTACGGTGCACACAACAGCAAGCCTACCAAGTTGGTCCCCCGCTGGTGGGACGGAAGAGGTGGCACCATGAGCCACGTAGTGACTATCGAGGAGCCCTTGACCAAGACCCAGGTGTCTCAAACCCGGAGTGGGGTGAAGTCGGAGGCATGGGGTAACGTGTCCTCCAGTCGAACGTATGATTTCCTTTACGGTAAGGACGGCCCCAGGCCTCCCTCCTGAGTTGACGACTCCTGGGACAGGTGGGCTTCCAGACAGTGGGACCCTGCTGGAGGAGCGGCGAACGAAAGGCGAGCCTCAGGACCGATCCCTTGCCTGCGGTTGTCCTCTGTTGGGTGGCGGCAATTCCGAGCCCTACAGGTGGCGGCGCTCTCAGCTGCACCTCCGAAGCAGCAGATGCGCTCTGCGTCTCGGAGGACGGCGCGGGGCCGCCTAACTCTTCGCCACCTTCTTTTCCTGATAATTTGCACAGCCCTAAACGATCTTCCTGAAACCTGTTCCAGGAGTTTTAGTATCCAGAAAAGTATGCAATGATTTGCAGACTTGGAGAGGCAGTCACTTAACATTCCCGCGTTCAAACTGCGTAAAAACGCCCTACAAGAATGACCCCTTCCGCTCCCATTCTCTGAGCACATCCAAATTTGGCATTCTCGGTAAAATGCCAATTTATCTCACCTTTGTTTTTAGTTTTCTCTGTTTCTTTACACTTATTCTTATCCATCGAAGCAATACTTATAAACTAGGTCCCCTTGGTTTTTCTGGGCCAATAAAACTCCAGTTTATTTTAATGCCCTAATTGTCCATTTATGTTCTGTCTCTTTTACTGGACCTCAAGTCCCTTGAGTTTTTTAAGGTCTTGTTTTATGCATTTTTGTAGCCTCAGCACCTATTCCAGTGATGGTACATATGGGTAGGTGCTTTAGAAATGTTCATTGAATTATTGAATTTACTATTACAAAACTTATAATCAGTTAAGCATGATTTTTTCTAGTTTTGCCTCAGGGGTCCCAGGCTCTTCACCTGAACCTTGCATTGCTTTTAACTGTGTCCTATCTCCTCTGGGATTCCCAAGGTCTGTTTTGGATGGGAATCCTGTAAAGTACCCATTTCCTGGTATAGGAGCTATGTAATGGATTGCTTACATATTCTGGCCAGTGGTTTTCTTTATTCACTCTTGGTTTCTTCTTATCAAATAAATCTAGTAAACTCCTCTAAACACATCACCGTATTTATTTCAAAGGTAATTTGGGAATGGAAGTAGACATCTTCAGTAAAGACAGTCAAAGAATTTATTAAGCTCCTTATTTTTTTTTATCCCTAAAGGCATCTCTTTCTTTCTTTTTTTTGCAGGGATTGCTAGATATTTCCTTGTCCCTTGTAAGGAACAGAAATCCACTCAAAAGAGGTCAAATGAAAGTTTGGATTGTTCTAATAAAACAGGCAGTCTCACAGCTATTCATGGACAGGAAGCATAATTTGGCCAGGACAGGAATGGTTACAACTAAGGTGCTGCACCCTCCTGCTTGATTTCTTGAACCTTATGGTCTTTTGGGGTTAGCAGATTTAGCAGATAAAAATACAGGATGCACAGTTAAATTTGAATTTGAACTTGAAATAAATAATGAATACTATTTTAGTGTAACTTTTTAGTTCCATGCAATATTTGGGACATAGTTACATAACAATTTATTCATTGCTTATCTAAAATTCAAATTTAACTGGGCATCCTGTATTTTATCTGGCAACTCTAACCCTGCTTCTTTCTGTGCGTGGGCTTTCTTCTACCCTCTTCCATCTGACAAGAAAGCTACTTGTGGATGGATTTCTTTTACTATGACAGGGACTGGAGTGGCACGTTACATGACTTCTTAGCCTAAAGTTCACCACAAATTGTATAGAGTCTTTATGTGTCTTAGTTGAAAATTGAAGAGAAATAAGAGAGGTTGTTGGCCAGCCTGTGAGTTGACCGGCTTGTATCAGATTTCCATCCTGACAGAAAGAACTTGATGAGTTGAGTGTGAGGGTCAATTGTGCAAATATGAACACTTTTCCAAGCTCTTTCACCCTTCCTCTGCCCCCACCCCTCAAAACCAGGGGCCTTTCAATGCAGTTGTTTGTCTGTGCTCCTCTAGGAAGCTTTGCTTGGGTATCTTCACTAAAATGTTCACTCTTCTGATCACTGCAGCAAGTAAGATAGATTAAGATACCTTACATTTATATAGTACTTTACAATTAACATCATTCTTTTATAAATCTTACCTCACTTATATACCATTTTGCATTTCAAGATATTTTTTTTGTAGATGATGTGTATCAGATACCTCTTTTGAAGTGTTCACTATGCTTTGTCACTTTCTCGAATCTATATTTGTTGATGGATTAGTATCTACACTACTGTCCTGATAAAGTCTTTTTTAGCATATAATATATTTTTTCCTAGCTTCCAAAATATTTTAAAATACTTTCTGGGTTTATCATGAGCTCTTTTCTCCTTTCCTTCCCACAAGAATCTTCAATTTATTATACTTCCCCTGAAAAGTAATCATTATGTCTTGGGGTTAGAAACACTTTCTCTCACCATTAGTTGGTTGTGAACTTCCTGGACTTATTAGAACTATTTCTACAAGCAGGGTAAATTGGCTGAGGGGCTCTCTCATTATTTCCATGAGAAAATTTCCCCACCATAAAATTCATGGGTTTTGGATAGTATTAGGCCTGGGAGACAGAAGGATTAGAGTTCAAATCCTAACTGCCAACCAGTAAGTTGCTAACTTCTTGAAACCTCAGTTTCCTCACCTATAAAATAGAGGCCTAGCACCTACATAATTGGGTTTTTGTGAGGATTAAATGGTATATTGCATATAAAGCACTTAATACCTGTTTAGGAGTAAGCAAGGGATACTTGGTGATTACTATTATTTGGGCATCTCAGAGACCTTTCTACTGCCTTTTGAGCACTGATTATGATCACAGTTGTAGGATATGTTGCAGAATGTGTAGTCACAAACCATATAGCATTGTGCCATTCTATAGATGATAAGAATGTTTCTATTAATAGCATGTCTTCATACTCTTTATGGAAATAAGAGTAAATGGTTTATTATTATTCAGACTCAAGGGAAATGCAAGCTAAACTAATTTCAGATGCACAATACAATTGCAACAATAGACACAGTGATATCTTTTAAATTACTTAATACAAGGGTATAAATGAAATTTTCCTTTATTCCATACTATTCCCAATATATTAGAGATGTTGAAGTTATACTCATCCTTCCCTTTAAACAAGTGCATTCATTCTGCCTTCAAATTCACTAGCCTATAATTTGAGGCAATAAAATCTGGCTTCTTTATTCCTAATCAGCCCATTTTCCATCATTTCCCTACCTGAATCATAGATGTGGACTCATCTGATGCTGCTGAAGAATATACGTAAAGGCTAATGATACCCTAATTTATTTTGCCA